TCAACATTCCAGTCCAGCCCAAGCATCTCCAGTCCAGCCCGAACAGTTCCAGTCTAAACAGTTTAAATTCCATCAGTTCTGCCTAAAAACAGTTTAAATTCCATCAGTTCTGCCTAAAAACAGTTTAAATTCCATCAGTTCTGCCTAAAAACAGTTTAAATTCCATCAGTTCTGCCTAAAAACAGTTTAAATTCCATCAGTTCTGCCTAAAAACAGTTTAAATTCCATCAACCATTCTGGCCAGAACAACCTCTTTATACTGAGATAAATTGTTAAAGTCCTCACCAGTCTGAGGCGAGAAAAGAACTTACTTGGGAGATATTCCTCACCCAAATTCACAATCGTTTGTTTGCAGAAATCAGTAACTTGGGGCGCAAGTTATCCATTCCAAACTAAGTCTGCTAGAATTTTTATTACTAGCAGTGGCACGCTCGCACACCAAAGAAAGCTGACTTGTTGACCATTCTATGGTTCTCAAGGCAGTGGGGAACTTTGCCCTTCCATCACAGGAGTAAACGCAAAACGGGCAAACAACACCAAGCCCATCTAAAAGACATGAGCCAGCTAGACATTCATTTGCAGCCTCTTCCTCTACCCAGGAGAGAGATTTAGAAATAGAACGAGACTTGATAGATCTCAAATTGCATTCTTTAAGGAAAAAAGCCCAGGTTAATCAACCTTGTTATGAAACTCTACCTCACACAGTCAATCAACCTAAACCTGAGTCTCCCCCTACTTCACCTACCCAAACCGATTTCCTTGCAAGTGAGATAGCTAATGCCCATATTTATGACATAGATAAACAATTGCAGGTTCTTCGCAAATCTGATTCATTTAAGATTAACTGGAAAGCCTTAGATAAGCACCTTTATGACCCTAGTAATAAAAGCAGAAGAGATATATATCACCAAATTATTCCTAATAAAAACAAGAGACAAGAAATATTTAATGCCTGGAAAAATCATATGCGTTCTGAGAAAATAGAAATTTAGGGCCCGTCTGGTAACGTTTTCAGAGAGCATTTTCAGAGAATGTTTTCATAGAATGAAAACGCATTTTCAGAGAACAAAAACGCGTTTGGTAGCTTAGTTAAAAACTGTTTTCAAAGAACAAAAACAGTGAAAATGCGTCTGGCAGTAATTTGTGAAAATGACAAAAAATAGTGAATATGCGTTCGGTAAGAGGATTTTATTTTATTTTTTAAACTAACATTTTCACACATTTATGTATGTAATTAGTCCAACACCTTTTTTATTATGCACACCAAACATGTTTTTCTCGTTTGATCTATTTTACTAAAATTAAAGAGCTTGGATTAAGTTAGATTTAAGAAAAAGTGATATATCTATGCATTTGGCTTAGTTTAAATTAGTCGATTGAAACATTCATTGGCTTCTAGACCAAATATTACAAAAACTTGTTCATTGACACACAAGAAAAAAAATTAATAATAATAAAAATTAAAAATTACAATAATATAATCAAGAGCCTTGGGTGAAATCACGCCACAAATCTTGTGCAATCTTATCTCTAATGTTGGTCATTTGTGCAATATTTTCCGGAGACATATCTAAATTTGGTGTAGCCATATCTTCACCCTCAACAATGATGTCTTCTACTTGAAACTCTTCGAACAACCTATCACGACGTGCTTCTCTTCGGATAAAATTATGTAACACACAACATGCAATGGGGATACGTCGTTGCCTACGTGGAGGATAATTGGGCATCAATTTCAAAATTGGAAAACGAGCTTTCAACACACCAAAACACCGCTCAATTATATTACGTAATGAAGAATGCCTATAATTGAATAATTCTATAGGACCTCTTGGTGCTCGACGCGGTCCCCTATAATCACGCAAATGATATCTCTCACCTCGGTAAGGTGCCAAGAATCCAGGCATATTTGTATACCCAGCATCCACAACATAGTAATATCCTGTTAATTAATTCGTTATTTGAATGTGATAATAATGTTAGTAATAAATTCAATTTAATTTTTTATATTTATTCATACCTTCCTCTGGAAAAGGAAATTCATTCTCTGGCCTCAACACTGCATCTGTGAACACTCTAGAATCATTTGCAGTCCCTTCCCATCCGGTGTAAACAAATGTGAACATCATATCGAAAGAGCATGCGCACATAACATTTTGAGTAATAAGAACCTTTCTACCACGGTATGAGGTTTGTTTTTGTGCTGGTGCCCAAGCAGCAACATGTGTCCCGTCAATTGCACCAATACACTTCTACAATATATTGAAAAGTTACTATGTTAAATAATAAAAATAACTAAATGATATATATAGTATCATGTGATCAATTGCAAAATAAAACAAAATATTTCCTCACCTCAAAATAAGGATAATACTTTGGGCTATTCAAGATTTCGGGCGGTGTTTCCCCTCTACTACTTGGGCGTATAATACGTGGTGATAATCCACATAATGCTGTCAACACACGCTTAAATTGTCTGTGAATTGTGTCTTTAGATCGTTGAAAACGCTCAGCCGCAACTCGCATTCGAATACTATGAGAAACTATAAATAAGAAAATACCAACTGCTTCTTGAATACCCACATGTCTATCATGGTGTAAAAGATCTAAAGTCTCAAGGGTTTGACATAACCTTAAAAATACATGTTTGTCCATGCGAAATGAGTCATATATTCTATCCGGATTTCCATTTAACAACTCTTGAACATATTCATGCCCCGATAAAACTGAATTATGGCAAGGAGTCCTATCAACATATGATTGCCAATATTCATAAATATTCATACATATTAGCATATGATGTGCCATTTCTTCAAGTTCTTCCATATCTGAATCACTATCTGAGTTATTGTCTCCATTACTAGTAGACATGTCTAATACCTTCAAATATTCAAATGAAGTAATCATCACTAACATTGAAACAATAATAACATATCCACAA